TTCTTTCTTTCTTTCTTTCTTTTTTTGGTAGTGAGAAGATTAGGACATCAGTTCTGGATATCACGTTCATTCTCTGTACAAGTAATATGAATGCATATCATTGTAATGAGTCAGAAATGTAGGACAGTGTATAGCAAGTTGTACTCTAAAACTGAGCAACTAGAATCTATTTTGAACATTGAATGTTTACAGTTTTCTCAATAAATACATGTTGTTTTTCATTTCAAAGCATCAGCAGAACAAGAATATGTTATTTTAACAATCCTAGTGATGATTCAGTTGGTAGCATAGAAAAGTAGCCAGGTTAACTGGACAATTCAATGGCAGATGCAAAATGGCATTTATTTCAATAGATAAGAATTTCCTTTCTCTTGTATCAATTAACAATGTCTACAATATAAACACTGATTATGTTAAAAAAACTAAAAGGAAATGTTTGTTAGCACTATTATTCATTATATTAATACATCAATGACCATCCACAAAAGCTCTTAATCTTACAGATTGCAAAATACTAATTTGAAAATGGCATCCTGCAGTTCAAGAATTCTGACTGGTTGCAATTTGCAGATTGAACCATTGAACCAGACATATAAAACTATTTATGTGTAGAAAGCATGCCAGAAAAAACAAGATGTATCACAGCTGTGAAGTTTAGAAGATGTAGAGTTATCACTTCTGTGCCTTTATTATTATTATTATTTTAATAAGGACCCAGTCAACATTTAAAGACTATTTTGATAACTCTAACTGCAAAAAAACTCTGGATTATATGTACTATTATGCAAGAGTTCTGCTTGTGTAATGGAACTTTCCTGTGGTAGAGGTCAAAAGAGTCTCTGAGTATTTGCAGCTGGGGAGAAAGAGCTACTGGCAGATGTTATTCTTGCAGCAGAAAGGCATCGCTGGAAAGAACTTTTATGTCCATCAGTAAGGGATACAATAAAATTACTGATAGGTCATTTTTGAGACTTTATAAAATAACAACAACAGCAGCAGCAGCAGCAACAACAACAACAGATAGCAAATGCCACCTCTGCAAAGAAGCTGAACAGTGGACCACCTAGTTAGCTGCTGCAAGAAGATTGCACAGACTGACTACAAACAATGGCATGACAAAGTAGCAACAATGGTGCAGTGGAATATCTGCAAGAAATACCATTTGCCTGAAAGCAAGAACTGGGGGGACCACAAAACAGACAAAGTAATAGAAAACGAAGAAGCTAAGGTGCTCTGGCACTTTAGAATTTAAACAAACAAGCACCTGCCACATAATATCCCGGACTTAACAATTCTTGGCAAGAAAGTCAAAAAAGTCTGAATAGTGGACATTGCAATCCCTTGAGACAGCAGAATAGAACAGAAAGAACTGGAGAAAATCACAAAATACAAAGATCTGCAAGTAGAAGTAGAACGACTATGGCAAAAGAAAGCAAAGATACTTATAGACGCCTTAGGTGCAATCCCAAAACATCTGGAGCACTACTTGAACACCATCGGCATTGACAAAATCACCATCAGTGAATTACAAAAGGCAGCTTTACTTGGAACAGCATTCATTCATTCATTCATTCATTCATTCATTCATTCATTCATTCATTCATTCATT